TCAGTTTTTTTCTTCAAATTTTTGTAAAGCTTCATACAGGAGTTGGGTGCACAAGGTGCATTGCACCTCGTGCACATAGACAAGGTTGTTGTTGTGCTTCCTATCCCAAAAACATAAAGAGTTCTTAGGTGTTAACAATAAAAGGTTGTTGAGCTTGTGAGCTCGTAACCAGCGCTTATAGCGCCCCAACTGGAAGCTCGCGCCTGAAAGGAGTCCATCTGGGCAGACCATTGTAGATCCCACTCACTACCTCAGGTTTGTTAGTTTATTTTCATCGACGGCTGATAGTTTAGATGAAAAAACCATCTACTGTTATTTTGTTTTTAAAAAGTTCATGAATCCAAAAAAGTCCATCATATCGAAAAAGGTTTGCGAATTCAAAAAGACAAAAAGTGTTTGTATTCAGTAAAAAATCGTAAATTCCAAAAGTTCATGAAGTAAAAAATACTTCATGAAACTGTAAAAAAATACAAAATTGAAAATTGTTTGCTTTCAGAAAATTCATTAAATTTAAAAGAAAAATGAAAAATAAATCAGGAAAAAAATGAAAAATCAAACAAAAAACGGAAAGAAAAACAGAAAACTTACCCTCAAACCTTGCGTGATGAAGAAAGCGAGTATGTTTTTTTTAGACAACAGAAAGTGAGTATGTAGTATGTCGTTATATTGGCAGGCCCGTTTGGAAGGTTGTGTGGGCGCCATGTACGAAATGCCCTATAAATGGGCGGCGCCTATACGTCGCTCAATGCGAGGTTGAATATGGGCCGGCCCGGGTAGGTTTGCTGTTCAGGTCGTCTATACTTTTGTTATTTCCTTTATTTTTTATATTTTATCTTATACTTATTTTCTAACATATTGTGAATACATATATTCTAAAATATAAATAAAAAATAAAACCATGAATTTCAAAGATGATAAAACAATGTAAAACATATGTTAGCTTAATTAAATAAATTTTTGACAGCATATTAAAACAGTTGTGACATTTTGAAAATTCTACCTGTTTAAAGAATGTATTAGATATTATTAAAATGTTAATAAAAGATTTGATAAATGTTATCATATATGAAGTAAATGTTTCATATCTATATGAAAAATATTGGTAGCATACAAAACTAACGTTTTTGACATTTTAGAAATGTCACGAGTTTTAGAAAAATGTATATGATACTATAAAAAATGTAATCATGTATTTAGAAAATGTTAAATGTATATGAATTAAATGTTTTAGACGCGAATGAAAAATTAGCCATGTTTATGAAAAAAGTAGACATCAAACATGTATTTGAAAAAAATCATTTTGTTTGAAAATTCTAATCACGTCTTAAGAAAATGTTAAACATGTATGAAAATGTTCTTAATGTGTACAAAAGCTGTAGATATCAGAAAATTTTATTTATAAAATTTGTGAATTCTGTATGTTAAAAATATTAAATTTGTCTGACCATGATGTTTCACTTGTACATGAAAAATGGACAAAGAAAGACTAAGCCAAAAATACAAACAACAAAGCGGAAGAAGTCAATAAAGAATGTTCTAAAGACGAAGAAAAACAATGAAAACCATAAAGACACAGACTTAAAAATAAAGAAACCAAAAAACCGGTGAAAAAATAAATAAAAATGAATTATACCAAAAAAGTTCACTGAAAAGCAAAGAACGAAACAAAGAAACCCGAAGAAAATAAAAAAAAAACAGGGAACACCATGAAAAACAAAGAAACAAAAATAAAAGGAAAATCCAATGGAAACCGAGAAGAAACTAAGAAAACGTGTGAAAACGAAGAAAACGAAAGTCATAAAAACATGAAGGAACTGGTGAGAAAACAAAAAAGAAAGAAAAAAGTAAAACGAAAAAAAAATCCCAAAGGAAACGGGATCTACGGCAAGGAAATTTGCGGTAATGGCCGGGCCGCTCGTGCTGAGTCTGCCGCGAGAGCTGCTTCCATCTTGCTGTAAGCGAGATATGTGGCTCTGGCGTGTAACTTGCGCGTGCAACCTTAGGTGGGTTTTTTTGTGACGCGGTACGGGGTTGGAAGAGGCCGTGAGACCAACCTTCGGCAACAGCCATCTTTCTTTCTCTCGAGAACCATGCAAAAACACCTAAAAAAAGAGAATCATGTAAAAAGAAACTTCCCGTCGAGACAAGTGGATAAGAAAGGCAACGTTCACCTTTTCACGAAAAAAACTGAATCGTTTGATCTTAAGAAATGCGAATATTAGGTTAGCCGAGACGGTGCGACCAAGAAGCAAAGAAGCGGATAGAAACTCACACCGCGCGACTCGTGCATGTTTCACACGCATTTCCCAACCACCCTGCGCCCGTCGAGGCCGTACCATGTGTCTGCCTAGCTCAGCACACTGTTACGGCAGCTACGATCAGCGGCTACAATCAGAGTCAAGAACCCACTGATGACAACGTACCTTATCATCGAAATAGCAACGTGCAGGTTCATTCATCCGTAATAGGCTCAACGATGGGGGTCCTAGCATGACTAGCTCGCGATTCACCGATGCATCACCCCTACACCACATTCTTCTCTCGCCCTCCTCTTCGTGCACGATGTCCATGAGCGACCGATCCATGCCGCTACACCCGACGACCCCCCCTCGCATGCGATCATCGTGCCCACAGTAACCCTTGCCGGCACACGCCGCCTCGGATTCCCGCTGCCCGCGGTGGCATCGCTCGTGGTGACGCGGCAAAGCACCCACTTCATTTCATCTACGTTAGGTAGAGAAGCGGCAGTGATGGCCTCAAAAGCGTGCGGTCTCATCACCAGATGCTGCCGGCCGGCCGGCCGAGGTAGCAGTAGCAGTACGTACATAGTCTTTGGAATAAAGGCCAGCAAGCATCTCATCTCCTCCCTCGAGCTCCATGGTACGCAGCCACAGTGAAGGTCGGCAAATTCCTGTATTGTTTCGGCGCCAGGATCGCCCTGTGCGTAGGGCAGACCGTTTTGGTTTCGGGCGCGTGTGCGAGGAATATAGGGTACTACTACCAGAACAACAACCGGGTCTGGACCACGTCGTTCGTCCGCGGAATAATCGGAGGGCTCATTGGACGTTGCCCATTATTGTATGTGAGCAGTTGTAGGGCCGGCCGATCGCAAATGCCTCCGCCTATTACCACTATAGATCAGCAGCGGGTGCACAAGGATGCCGATTCCCTCCCTAGCTGAGCTGCTTTTCTGACAATAATTGTTGTGAACTTGCCGGCGGTGGCAACGTCGGAGCAGCCACACTAATGGACAGGAATCCATAATTGAGGCAACTTCCTCATTTACTCTCATCCATGCCCCACTGTCCCCTACACCACACTAGTACACTCTTTTGCGTGTGTGTGGTAATTACCTGATTCCATTGTAAACAGTAGTACACTAAAGTGCCACACTTGCGTCCACTTGGGACACTGAGACCTCCCAATAATGCCGGGGAACGCTTCCACTAGTCTCTTGACAGGCACCAAATCGACCAACTTAATCATAGTACAAAATGCTTAACTAATGGAGCAGCAAGCAAGCTGCCAATCTGCCGTTGCCATGGCGTGCGTGGAGTTGAGTTGAACGCAGTACCGGGCCAATAATTGGGCAGATTAACTAATGCATCCGGCATGTTAAGTCAATAATATACCCACATGACGGCACGAGCTTCGCACATACACAAGGCGCCATTGCCGTGGCGTGCGGCGCGTAGGTCCAAAAACGGCACTCCCGGACAGATCGCAACCAATCGGTAAACAACAGCTCTCATCCCGCGAAGCATGCACGGAAGCTTGGCTGGAATCCTCCACATGCTCCCAAACTGTCGCACGCCCATAAGAAACTGGCAGAAAGGCGACGTCATGGCCGGAGTAACTTAAGTACTTAACTAAGAATTGACACGAGCCACACGACTGCGTAGACGGCATGTGCATGGATGCGTGGCTCCATCGTCGATCGTAGTTCGTACCTAACCGCATACGCCGGCGTATGGATACATTGCTATATAGTTTTGCCGCGCGTACGTACGTCCCACATGCATATACGAAAAATACTATGCCACTAACCACACCGGCCAGAGACATACACCAACCACAACCGTATGCTATACTAAGACTAGTTTCTCGGGACGGCTGCAATCATGCAAGCAGCGTAGTATTTTTCTCAAACAAAAAAGTATTGATAGTGTTGTTGTAGTGGGCCGGTAACTCGTGCATCAATCAATTGCTTATACGTCCCTCCCGAGGGCCCAACAAAATGGGACGAACATACTGTACATATAGTGCTCAGCCTGAGGACAAGAAGAGACAGAACGGTGGGTAGCCCCGATCATCGTAAAATAATCCCCCATGCGCTGCACGCATGATCGCGTTTGCGTCCGTCGCAATTCTGCATCAGCAAAAGTTGAGCGCATACATACATCGTGCTCTTACTGTTAGACGTTGCTTCATACGCTACTAGTACTGTGTGTGGAGACCGATCGAGCTGGCCTTTCTTCAGGAGATTTAATAGTAAGAACAGCACGCAAAATGCAGGCAAAAGCCAGGAATTCCGGGAAGAAAAATACTCTGATTTACACCCAATGGAAGATGGGAAAACGGATCTTACACGTGCAGAAAGACTGCTACTAGCTGCCAGAAAAAACCCTGCTGCTCGGACTCGAGCTGCAGGGCAAAAAGAACTGGCAGCAGGCTAGCTAGCTAATGCACCCATTGTTTGTACTCCTCTATTACAAGCTGAACCTCACCTCAGCTGGAAAAAGATTAAAGCGGGAGATCAAAGTTGCAGTCAGGTCTTGAAACCTTGACCGCAACCGCATGATATGATATCGCTTCCTAAAGCGGCATCAATTTTATTTGACCTGTAAAGTGACAAATTAAACGAATCGGTTCGATTTTTAGCGAAGATGTTAGTGTCGATCCACGAGGTTAGTAGGTAGTAACACTAGCATGCATATCGACGAAGATCCAGCAAAAGAATCTCGTCCATGCATGCATCCGGCCGGTTGTATCGTCGATCGTCAGTGCTCCCAGAGCAGCAACGGTTCCCCGAAGAAGAGACTGTCGTCGACGTCGTCCCACGGCGAACCGCAGTAGGACGGTGGCTCCGGCGACGCGAGCCCGAACTCAAGGAGGAAGTCCGGCACGTCGAGAAACGCGTAGTCGAGCCCAATGCCACCATATTCGGGTCCTGCATTCTCGATCAACGAACAATCCGGCGACGATGCCTGCTCGGGCGCTGCCGGCTCCGAAACCTCCTCAACCGCCTCCTCCTGCTGCTCCTTCGCAGCAATGCTGTCGGGCGAGAGCGCGTCGAGGGTCGACGGCGTGGCCGCGGCGAGCGCGGCGGCGGCCTGCACGTCCTTGGGCGCGGCGGACGCGGCGCGCGGCAGCTCGTGCGCGAGGTCCGGGAAGTTGAGGTGCGCGGCGCGGCCCTTGATGGCGATGGCGGCGACGTCGTGCGCGCGCGCGGCCATCTCGGCGGTGTCGAAGGTGCCGAGCCAGATGCGGGACTTCTTGCGGGGCTCCCTGATCTCGGACACCCACTTGCCCCAGGTGCGCATGCGCACGCCGCGGTACGTCGGGTGCTTCAGGTCCCTGCGCGGCCGCTTCTTGCCGGCGGCGACGGCGCTGCTGTCGTCGGAGCTCGGCGACGACGCGTTCAGGGAGCCGGAGCTCGTGTTGCTGCAGGTGCAGCAGCTGCTATTACCGGACACCTGAGGCACAACTAGCACCTGCTCGTGCTCCATTTGATCGACGTGACAACTGACAAGTGGTGGCGGCGGCGGCGACCAAGCTGGACGATTACGAGCTACGTGCTCAGCTATAGCTTGTTGCTAAACCTTGATAGAAGTTAGAGGTGATGGAGCGAGTTGGGTGTGTTGATGATGAGTGCGATGCGCGAGGCAGCGCTCATATAGTCGCCGCGCCCGTACGGACCTCCCTGCCCTCGCCGGAAGTCAATGTGGAAGCAGGATCGCCGGGGGCGCATTAGTTTTTGTGTCCCCGACGAAATGTGAATGACATGCAGAATACTACAACAGGCTACGAGCGAGCATCAGCGCATGTTGCGCGCGTGTGCCTACGCGTTTGTTTCTCGATCGCCGATGGTCAATAGCGACTACAGGGCCGGAGGGCCATCACGCTGCTGGTACATGCATTCTTTATCATTCCTCGCCTCCTACTACTACCACCCCATGGAAATGGAGGGGCTTTCCGTTGTGCAAAATGTGTGTGCGTGTTTTGGTGTAGCAGTATTCCCTTTCATTGGTAGGAGCAGGACGATCGAGCGCGAGTAGACTAATGATTAAAGCGGCGGGAAAATCTCCCCGCGCAGGCACCTGTCTGCCTGTCTCTCCCTAAAGCCACCCCACCAAATAGGCCTCGTGCCAAGTATTAAAAATGCATGTGATCGTTGCTCGTAGATCCAAAAGATTTCGATCGATCCTGTTCTTGCTTAGTATATATTACAAAGAGATTAATTAATGCGTAGAGTTCAATAATGCGAACGAGTGCCTTGTCAACTAGCACAAGGGCAAGGCAGATGGCAGATGTCAGAGCAAAATGGGTTCGTTAGAGGGGAAAAGATGGAATGATATGCATTGAGAAAACGTACATAATGCAAAGCAAAGCAAAGTAAAGTAAAGCGCTCGCAGCTGCCCGGCCGTGTTTTTCTATCTTGTTCATGATATATCTGCGTTATAAATAATGCGGCTCTCCCTCCATAATGTTATCTGGAGGAATAATCTAAGAGAAACGCTGCGGTATTCCAGCGTGGGGGCATAAAGAAAACCTAATTGGGCGAGCTCGTGGCGCGCTTTTGAGATTCGAGTGTTTCCTTTGATCACACTTTGGGAGCTTTACGTGGTTTCTTAAGTTGCCATGCATCTAATCTAACAACCAGAAATCCTCCGAACAAAAGCCCGGAATAAACTATCGTTTCGTTCTCTGAGCTCAACCTTTCATTTAGCCTTTTCCAAAAGAAAAAAAGAACAATTTGGTTACATGAACAGCCATGATATTGTAGGAGTATGTATATGTTTCTGTGTCTATACTTGAGCAACTCTGGGTGAGTGTTTTGATGGAGACATATACTAGAGAAGGCCCTGTGCATAACAACAAGTGATTTGTTACTCCCCCATACACACAAAAAAAGAGAAGTGCTTTGTTTCTACTCTCTGTAAACAAATATAAGAGCGTTTAAATCACTTAGAGGGAGCAGTGGAGTAACTTTGCATCTTAATCATGGGAAAACTCTGAATCTTAATTAAGCGATATCGCCCGTACGAAGGCCGCAGTTGGAACTCTAACACGTTAACTTGGTCAAAAGCACACGCTATCGAGCATCAACGGAAACTTTGCACGAAATCTATACGTTGATCAGTTAGCATCACCTAATACGCAGAGCGCGCATGAGGAATCACTCCGATGGATGGACGCGGCAATGGAAAACTGAATGAAAACATAATTATATAAGCATCTACGGCATAATTACAACCAAAGATCGTTCTTTTCTTATAGTATCGTAGTAGTCACCTTTTGTTGACGGCGGGGAGCTAGCTTCATATGGGTCTTGCTTCAGTTCCAACTTGACCTTCCTGCTGCTCCGTGTCCCACCACGCGCGTCCTCCAAAAGCCACGACGACGACCACCAGCAACACGCAAGGAACCTGGCACCTCGGCGGTGTGAAGACTGTCAGTTGAGATCAGTGGGACACATTTCAGGGCCTCTTTGACTCGTAGGATTTCTAAAATGCAAGGATAACAAAAGAACAGATTTATATATAGGATGGCATGCCATTTTTTTTGAAACGGAGGCAAAATATTTGCCTCATCGATTGATTAAGTAGAAGAGAATTTTCCATTTAATTAACGAAAAAATCGGATAAAAACCGATACAAACCAACCACATGTGGACTACTCACAAAGCACGCAAACCCATAAGCACACGATCAGCCCCACAACCTAACCCAACCTATAACGACCACCAACCCCCACACTACTACATCACAAAGAAATCCTCAACAAATGAACCTCGGCCGAAGAGCACGTGCATCTCCAAATCCACGAAAACAAGGCATATGCCATAAAAATAACCCAAGAGACTGATGAGCATCCATCAAGCAGCCGTGAACGCCTTTCCTGTGATGCCACTATTTTTTCTTTTGCTCCTGAGATCCTCCTCCACAATTGTCTTGGCAGATCCAGGGCTAGCTACATCCAAACGTGCGACCAAGCTACAGAGCTCTATCTGAAAGAGAATCACATCAACCTTGTCACACAGAGACTCCACCTGCCCAACGGTCACGGGTAAGTGGGCAACCGCATCGTCGGAACCTCCACGGTCCACGAAGGCGAGCGGCTGGTTGGGTTCCAAAGGATTATGCGTCAGCATACTAACCGCCTCAACATCATCAGCCACGGATACACCGACATGCCATCTTTAGTACTACAATGTTGCATCGATGTTCAATGGAGCACAAGAAAATCATAGAAATCGTCAAATGAGGTTTGAGTAGACGCAAATTTTACTATGAAATCTAGTACAAATATTAAGGAAAAAATTATATGAACTGCAATCCTGCGAATCAAACGGTGATTCGTTTATTTTGGTCATGCCCGTTTATTACCTTGATTTGGCGCACTATCCACGTTACCTACAAATATACTACCACCAATGAGTATCCCAAATTTATTTGAAAACTGGTTAGGTGGTATTCACCATTATCTAAAAGGTCAAATCCGTATAGGAGTTTGTGTTTTTTGAGCAATTTGGAATTGTTCGGATGAGTTTTCTTTTTACTAGATCATCTATTCCTGTTTTTTTGCTGGTTATGTACAGAGCTAGGTGTCAAGCCATATATGGTCATCGCTGTAGTGTGTGGATGCATGGGACCTTACAGCCTTTAGGTTCAGTAGACTGAAAATGGGGTGCACGGGGTTTATTCTAATAGTTGAGTTGATGAGCCACTCATAGATTATATGAATGAGCTAATGTAATCTTGTTTCTGCCAGATGTAATCAAATTTTATTTTTTATTTTTATTCCTGCTTGGTGCTCCGTACTTGAATTTGGTTCAGTTTTATAAAATGGTTGTTTGCATCGCATGATGCAGAGGCCGGGGTAGTCCCTCTTATTGAAGAAAAAAATAATCAGAAGACGCTCGTAGGGAAAATTTGTAAGGATGAGAATCCTCCAAAATTCCTTTACAAATCCTTTGAATTAGACATGACCTCGGAATTTGGAACAAATAATTGTTCTGCTATAACAATATCTATACTAATCACAACGCCCAAAAAACATGACTACATATGAGAAATAGCAAACATATCCTGGTATATAATATGATTGTGAAATTATTAGGGAGTGTCTATTTGACATATGACTGAAAATCAATTGACAATCATTAAAATTTTGTATCCAATTGTAAGCTTGACAGCTGAATGGATGTAACCTATGTCATTGTGAACTAACGCCCAACAAGAAGACAATCGGGCCTCCCACTGACATATTTTTAACCCATTAAAAGAAAAGCGCCAGAAAGAACTGCTCCCCCGTCCCATAATATAAGATCGTTTTTGCACTAGTTGCTACATGGAACAAAGGCCCCAACTTCAGGAAATGAAAAACAGAGCCCTAACCTCTATAAGCGGGCTTCGAAAGGCTCCTAATTTATTGTTTTTTGTTCCAGGTAATCTTCCTCCGCATCGGTTTCATTTGGATCACCGCTGCATTCAGAAGTATACTCATCTTCTTCATCTTTGATACGTCTCCAACATATCTATAATTTTTGATTGTTCAATGCTATTATATTATCATTCTTGAATGTTTTACAATAATTTTATAGCAACTTTATATCATTTTTTGCGACTAACCTATTGACATAGTGCACAGTGCCAGTTGCTGTTTTTTGCTTCTTTTTTACTTCGCAGAAAATCAATACCAAACGAAGTCCAAACACAACGAAACTTTTTGGAGAATTTTTTTGGGCCAGAAGACACAAGATGAGCCGAAGAAGTACCAGAGGGGGGCTCCGAGGGGAGCACAACCCACCTAGGCGCGCCTGGGGGCCCAGGCGCGTCCTGGTGGGTTGTGCCCACCTCGGCCGCCTCCCGCACCGCCTCTTTGCTCTATAAATACTCCGAAAATCCAAAATCCAGAAACCACAAATCTAATATAGACACCATCAAGGAGGGGTTCATCATCCTCATTGGTGCCTCTCTGATGATTCGCGAGCAGTTTATTGTAGACCTTCGGGTCCGTAGTTACTAGCTAGATGGCTTCCTCTCTCTCTCTCTCTCTCTCTTTTGATTCTCAATACAATGGTCTCTTGGAGATCTATTTAATGTAACTCCTTTTACGGTGTGTTCGTTGGGATCCGATGAACTTTGAGTTTATGATCAGATCTATTTTATCCATGAAAGTTATTTGAGTTTTGACCTCTTATATGCATGATTGCTTATAGGCTTGTATTTCTTCTTCGGATCTTTGGTTTAGTTAGGCCGACTAGATCGATTTTTCTTGCATGGGAAGATGTGCTTTGTTATGGGTTCGATCTTACAGTGCTCAATCCCAGTGACAGAAGGGGACATGACATGTACGTATCGTTGCTATTAAGGATAACAAGATGGGGTCTATTCCTACATGAATATATCTTGTCTACATTATGTCATCGTTCTTATTGCATTACTCCGTTTTTTCATGAAGTTAATACACTAGATGCATGTTGGATGGCGGTCAATGTGTGGAG